GTGGGTGTGTTGGTGAGGGGGTGGGGGGGGGTGTGGTGGGCTTCTGAAACATTACCTGAATATTCCAACCACGAACAAGAGAGGCTCCACAAAGAATAGCAGCGGCAGATATCTTCTCATCATCAGAACCACTGACTGCTATCTCATATATTTTCTCGATCTCTGGTAAGCTTCCATCAAATCCATCTTAAATTCAGTTGCCATACCACTGGGTAAATATACAAAAAAAGAGCATCTGACATGCATGGTTCAGGAAAAAGAATGGCATAACTTAAGACCAGGTTAGGAAATTAGGGAATAGCCTTTTAAGCAAGACAGCTTTGACCTTTCATTGTATGCACATGCATTTGAATCTTTCCTCATGCGAATCTTTCCTCATGCGTAATTACAACATTATGGAGGAAAAATCCTAAATCATAAATGTTAAAGAACCATCTCACCTAAAAGCTTAAGCTCTTAGGTGAGGTCTCAGGATATGATTTATATTATTCTCTAACACATCCCCTCAAGTGAAAGCCCTTTGGGCTTGAAAATTGCACGGGCCCATATTACCTTGTGCTAAATTTTTTTCAAGTAAATAGGGATGGTGAAATTCGAACTTGAGACCATTTGGTCATCAAGGCTCTGATACCATGTCAAAGAACCATCTCACCTAAAAGCTTAAGCTCTTAAGTGAGGTCTCAGGATATGATTTATATTATTCTCTAACAATAAAACCTCTCGACTTGATTGTATTCAAGTTATGCTGAATTTCAAAAACCTCCATTATGGAATCTGTCAACATAACAGCATTCAAAACACAAAAGCACATCTTGAAACAGCCTCTTTTAAGGCATTCCTAGAATAGCATCACCGACCAAAAAATAATGAAATTAAGAACTAATTATTTTAGCTAATCAGATCAAGTTGACCATTGTTCATTGCTTCACATTTTAAACACCTACCATAAGAATAAACATTAATAAAAATTCACACACTTGTTAAGCAAAAATTAAAATAAAACAAACAATTCCACAGAAAAACACTGCAGTTGTATAGAATCACAACATAGCTCAAAAGAAAAAAATTCTAGAAACTCAAGTTTGGAAACAAAAGCCAGTGTCGTGGGAAACAAAACCAATGGAAAAGAGTGCTATCTTGAAAAAGTAAAAGAATTATGATGATTTATATTATTCAAAGTTAAAGTCTTCTGCAAAGAAGGTAGGAAACTCATGCTGTCTCAATTATAATGATAGTGCAGCATTCTGTTCATCATCCATGCAATAAAAAAAACCCTGGAAAATAAAGGGAAAAGGAACAGATGAATTCAAATATAGTTTTTAAACAATACCACTGGCAGCATACCTGGAAGCTGGAGTTGAAACCAAAATGTTTATCATTGAGGGGGTTAAAGGTGACCCGTTCATCAATGACAACCAGCCAAGTGTTTGACTGGGAACACTTCGAGGTAATTGGTTAGCAAGAGTCACATAGCCTGGCCATAAATATGCTGATGTGTCCAACATATTTCTTGCAATACAAGCCTCAACAATCAGGTGCCTCAAGTTTCCAGCTGGAAAGTAATAAAATGGAAAGCAAGACTAGAATTCAGAGCCATGGAAAAACAATAAAACCTGGCATCCAGGGCCAACAGGTTGAGAACAAAGAAAAGAAAAGGAAACAATAAACCTAAAAGAGCAGTGGATAGATAACCATATTTTGGGAAGACAACAGAGACAAGCCTACTATAAAAATAAAGGAGAAAAAATAGTTCAAATTCTAGCAAAAACTGCTATTTTGTTGTTTTTGTCACCCTCTAAAGTCTGAAATGAGGAAAAGGAAACAGTGATAGCAATTTAAAGGACTAATTTAGAAAACAAATAAAGGTTCAATTAGCTCATCTAATAATTGTTTTTTGAAGAAACCCCCTATATACAAGGGAACTTTCTAAACTTTCTAAAATGTACAGAAACATAAAATCAGGCTGCCGATTCATGTTACATTTTGGTAGCAGGGGAAATTGAACCTGTTTAGCAACATAATTGGAATTATCTTGTTTCCACACCAAACACAACCTTTGATAATATGAACTGAAATGTTAAGGAATGTAATCACTTACAACAGTTGACTGGCATGTCATTTATACTCATGCTATAAGCATTACTGACAGTGAGACCTGAGATAAACATTGTAGCTTTTGCGGCAGCTTGATTAGCTACTGAGCTAACAGGCTGAGGCGGAGTCAACAACCCTTCATAGTCACCCAATAGCTGCAGGGAAGTAATTAGACCCTTTCGACATTTCCCCTGTTTTTCTTTTCTTTGATTGGTAGGGCTCTGTTGTGTTTCATCAATCAGTTCACTTTCCTCTTCCTCAATAATATTAGCCACTACAAGGGTTGTAATAGACAATAACATGGACAAGCATGTATCAAGGCGAGGTACTGGACCCTCACTAGGATTTCTTTCCTGAAAGAACACAAATAGGTTATGCCCTGAAAGATGCATAAATCTTTAAAAGTTAAAGAAGGTTTGTGCAAAACTCACAAAAATAAGGAAAAATAAAAGCATGCAATTCCTTTGGAAGAAAAAGAATAATGCTTCCTGAAAAATGATTTCATTTAATTCCCTAATTCAAGCTACTACATTAAAAAGGTTTCAATTGTCTTGGACGACTTTGTATACTTTATCCTTAAATTTATCACTACAGAATCAGTTTTTCTCTGTGCTCTTATCGAAAACATGTGGTCTGTCCCATCCGTAAAATCCTGCTTTATTAATGCTTTGCATAACTTTAAATGAATACCACCAACTGTGTTTTTTTCTGGAACCTAACGAAACCTACATGAACAGAACATGACAAATAATAAATAATGAAGCTTGTTTAAGATGCCATATAATCTACACTCTTCAAAGAACAGCTATTCCATGACAAAAGCAAAAATGACTGATGGACGAACCAAAAATGATATAGAATATATCTATGGGAAAATTTAGAAATCTGGTTGTTAACTGGATTCCATTGTGCAGTTTAGATATTAACTTTTATTTCTAGTCAATTGTCAAAAGTAGTTTTTAGGTATAAACTTTATTCTGCTACCTACTTGGTAATTCGCTTTGGTGCCCATTAACTCAAGTTTAGCATCACAATTCTTTCTAATTTTCTTGTTCCTTTGACTTCACCCGTTTCTTCCTATTATACTGCATGTTATATATCATTCTTGTGGGAGTGCTTTGTCAAGTATATACTCATTTGGATTCGTGAAAGGCATTACACATTTCAGAAGCACTAGTTTAAGCCCTTGTTCAGTGTCAAATATACCAAATTGTTGTTTACGAAAGAAGATATATAAAAATTAGTGCCCTAGGGATTCAAACCTTTCTCTACTTTCATAAAAAAGGGTAGTAAAAGATTATTAAGCAAAATTAATTAAGGTTCTGTGAAACTACTCTTTGCACAATCCAATAAAAATTTGAAAAATAAAAATTTTCTTTGTTGGAGAGGTGAAAGACTGGTTTGCATACATCAAAGTCAAGGGAAGCTAATATCCAGCATTAGAATTTGAAGCAGCAGATTCTAGTAGAAGAGGTTGAGGAAAATGAAAGAGTG